CACGTATATGTTCATTTTGTATCCTATCTCTAAGGGTCAAGCCACTCATCCGCCTAAGCATCCTCATCTCTGCAACACTTAACTTAGTATTATGCTTCTCTTTTAATGGCCAACATTCGGCACCATAAAGTATTGCAAGTCTCAACACCATCTTATAGAATTTTCTCTTAAGTTTGAGAGGGACTTTTCCATCGCACAATAAGCCTGATGCATTCCTCCACTTCAACCATCCAACTTGAATTCTGCTTATAATATCCCCATCAATTTCTCCATCACTCTAAACAATAGATCCAAGATATATGAAACATGTACTCTTATTAATGACTTGATCGCCCAAAGTCACAATCCACTCACTAGCTAGGTCTATTGCTACTAAAATTATACTCCATATATTCAGTTTTAGATCTACTCAAGCGAAAACCTTTAGACTCTAAAGTTGACCTCCATAATTCAAGTTTACTTTCAACTCCCTCTATAGTCTTATCAACAAGAAGAATATCATTAGCAAAAAGCATACACCAAGTACATACTCTTGCAAATATCTAGTGAGAACATCCATGACTAAAGCAAAAAGATATGGACTTAAGGATGATCCTTGATGTAAACCAAACAAAATAGGAAAATATTTGGTCAAACCACCTTGTGTTTGAACAAATAATATATAATAAAAAATACACATCTAATTTTTTATAACAAATCTTAAAATTTTCAAATTTATTTTAAAATAACTATAATATAAATTTTAATTTACCATTTATATATAATATTCATCTTAAAATAAATTTGATATCTTCCACATGCATTATAACTTTTTTTTTAATATCATTTTGATGGTAATTGATACGCCACTAAAAATTGGTTTGATCGGGAACAAATCTTGAGGTATGTCTCAAATGGAAACTTCCAAAATTAAGTATGGACCATCTAAACTTCAATTTCAACAAACTCATAGTCGAACTGAACGACTTGATGAGACGAACCCAATAACATCGAAATTGGTCCAATCCGAGCCTATATCACTTAAAGCATATTTGGAAGTTTTAGAATAGTAATTAAAAGATTAAATTATCCATAAATATGGTATGCTAGTCGAATAGAGCGGCTTGACAAAGATGAATCCAACAAGCCCAAGATTGCTTAATTTTGACATCATTAAGGCACTTAAATGCTTGATGAATGCTCCATGATCGAGAGAATCATTATGCATTGTTCGATAGAGAACTCCAAATTTCCTCTGGATTTCCTCCATATTTACGAATCATGCCAGTCTCAAAAAATATAAATAGACTCACTCTCCCTACATGAAGTGGACCTTTGGGACTCGAAGGCTTGAACTTTGAACTAGAGATTTACGAAAGCTCTGAGGCTTAAAGAATTTTGGAGCCCCTACCGAGCATCACCATCACATGAACCCTTACTGTTGTCTGACCTGACTAAGGTCCTTAGACCACCATTGCCCGACTATAGTACCTGAACAACCATCGCCTGACCACGCTCCTTCTAACATTTCTCCAGCTAACTATGGTCGTCGAAACACCATTATCAAACTATGTTGCTTCTAAATTTATTCTCCCACCAACTATGATCCTTTTGATAGGACTATAAACAAACAGAGTGTTCGATGAGCTGCTCATGGCTCGGCTAGATAAGAGCTCATTTATGTTCATTTGATAAGCTAAATGATCAAACTTGAACACTTTTGATAACCACTCATTCGCCCACCAACTATGGTCCTTCTTACCACCGTCACCCAACTATGGTCTCATCAACCTTTGTTGCCTAATTACGATCCTCGGACCATCATCACCCAACTACAATCATTTCGATCTACCCCGCTCGTCGACAACAATCCTTGGAGCACCATCACCCGATGATGGTCATTCTGACCTCTATCGTCTATCGACTACATTCATTCAACCTCAGTCTCTCGAATACGGTTCTTCTGACCCTCGTTGCCTGCAAACAACGATCCTTCTGCCCTCATTGATCG